TATTTTTCCCATGCGTTGTGAATTTTTTAGTAACTCCATAATGAGAAGTATCAAAAAAGGGATATGCGATGAAAATGGGAAAGTAGTCACTCCTAGTCAGTAATGGGCGTGTTAAGAATAGTTTCCCCACAGCTCTTCATTAGTAACTTGCTAGAACATGAAAGTCTAACTGTTTTGGAAAAGGTGTTATATATGCCTCCCTATCTTGTAAGGTAAAATGAAGTTATTGCTTGTAAAACTGTATTGCATAAGATTTCATTTAAAACATAAGATAAGTTCCTTAATGAGGCAACGGAATTGAAGTGGAGAAAGAATCATATGGAAATAGCTGAGAGTTGTCTCGTTGCCTATAGAAATAGTGAAGTCTACATTCATACTTCCATTATGTGCTAGAACAAAGGTCTACCTGTTATAAGTAAAAAGTTGTAACCGCGGTCCGCAGTTGCCGTTATGGTCATGTCTGGGGATGAGTGATTGGCTGGTTGGTCGGTCAGATTTGCTGAGCTGAACCTGTCGTTATTGGTGAATACTCTCTTCGTCTTGAAAAACTTTTTCCACTACCCTTTTCTGAACATCCCAAAAGACACTCTTTACTTTATTTCCTTTTTTCTAGTAATGAACATTTGGCTCACAATATTCCTCTCTCATTATATAGTTTCTAGTTTTCAGCACCATTATTATGTTGCTTGAAAACTCATTAGCAAAACATATGCCTTGTTACCATTACCTTCCTTATTTAGAAATCTTTTAGCAGAGTTTTGAACAGAAACAAAATAATAATTGCTCAAACAATACTAAATAATAATATTCCTCTCTGGGTTCTGCCTTTTTTTTGGTTCTGCCTTGTTTGATGTTTTGTTCCATGCTTATTATTATTGCTCAAACAATACTAAATAATAATAATAATTGTTATTATTATAGAAATGTGTTGAATAATAGTGTTAGGCACATTAACAGGATAAAGATGTTAATGAGATACCCTAATCTTAACTGGGATTTGGGAGGTGCATGCTGAATTGAATAAATGAAACAAGAATTTGATCCTTTGGAGTGAATAAAGTGATTCTTTGTCATGTCTTTCTCATGATAGTGCATTTGTGAGATGTAAGGCCTATCATCTGAATTCATATATTCTTCATTCAGCTCCATTGATTTAAAGGGCACACATACACACACAGTGGAGCTATTCTTACAATAATTTTTTATACAATAGATTTTATCATATTTTATATTTTTCAGTTAGATTATTTTTATATAAAATGAAGTCAACTTGGAAAATATTGACTCTTTGATTATCAATATTTTAAAGGTTGACTGAAAAAAAACTCAAATTGGAAAATACTATGACGGAGGAAGCAGGCCTTGTTTGGGAACATCGTTTTCGATTAACGTTGGTGTTTTAGATAAAACTTTAATATTGTAGATTGATTCTGAAAGGGTGTTGCTAAATCCACCCAAAAAATGGTTATATCCACCCCTTTCACTCAGATTTGCTAAATCTACACTAATGTTAATACTCCTTCCGTCTCAGAAAATTTTTTTCGGTTTTGACTTTTGGGAAAGAAAAATATAAAAATTGGACCAAAGTAAAATGAAAACAATTGAAACAAGTTGGGCTCGACAATAATGCGACTCGTGAGGGAGTGATTTTTTTTTGTTAGAATGAGTAGAGTGTTATACATGGGGAAGTGTGGCAGATGGGAGCGGTGAGTTAGCGTCGGTAATTTCTTGGCATCTTTCCAATATCAGATCAATTAAAAACTAAATAAAATTAGAGCAATTTAAAATATTGTCTCCTTTTCTATTATATGTGTGTGTGTGTCTATATATATATATATATATATATATATATATATATATATATATATATATATATATATATATATATATATATATATATATAAAGGAGTGGAACGTGCAGAGGAGCAGTAGGTTTTGGAGTTTTGGGGTAAGCATCTGCAGCAGCAGGGTGTACTGTCAAGACGGTAGTCTGGTTTTTTATATATATAGAGTTTATAGACC